ATGATTGGAGTAAGTATTAGTGGGCGGCAGCCTTTGAGCTCCGAGGCTGCAGCTGTCTGTGACACAGCAGCTTGGCTCAGGGCAGCGGTTCTTAAAGAGTTCTGACAGGTGGGGCGCAAGTTATCGTGAGGATTGGGAGGAGTTAAAATGGAAAAAATGGAACGCCACAAGGAAGCATAGTTAGCCCGTTATTGTTTTCACTGCTGATAAATGATGTGTTTAAGAACATAGAGGGTGGAACGGGGTTTTCACTTTCTTCAGACGATGGGGCGATGTGGGCAAGAGGACGACGGTTAGACTTTTTGGTAAAGAAAGTACAGGCGGCAATCACAGCTCATATAAATGGGGGTTTAAACTCTCAGCTGATAAGACTAAATAATGTTTTTACGAGAAAAAGAGTTGGTGTTGACATCAGGGTCAGATTATATGGACAAGCATTACAAAGGGTAAAACAATTTAAGTTTTTGGGGTTGTGGTTTGATGAAAGGGTGACATGGACTGTACATATTCAGAAAATAATAGACGGATGCAAGAAAGTGTTAAATATAATGAGGTGCTTAGTGGGAACTGACTGTGGGGCTGATAGGAAATCTTTAAAAGCTTTATATACTGGGTTGATTAGGTCAGTATTGGATTATGGGTGTGTAGTATATAATTCTGCTGCCAGAACAAGTCTTCGTAAGTTGGATAGTATCCAATATCAGGCGCTAAGACTCTGCACAGGTGCATTCAAAACAACATCTGCAGCAGCTGTACAGGTAGAAAAGAGAGCAACTGACACTGACTTACTGGGCAAGTTTACAAGGACGTGGTCAAGATCATCCGACAAAAACTGTTTTCCAACCGTGCTGGGAAAAAGAGAAAACACAATTGAAGAGCTTTGGGTCTCTTAAATTCACATACAGTGCAGGAATATATTAATCAGTATTATAGTCAAAATCTACACAGATGCATCAAAGAATACAGCCAACCAAAGCGGGATAGCATTTATACTTCCTGAGTTTAATATCAAGGTGGGGAAAAGGATCAGTGACGATTTATCAGTGTGCACAGGAGAAATGGTTTCATTATTGTTAGCAGTCCAGTGGATTGAAGAAACAAAACCACTAAGATCTGTGATATGTTCAGACTCAAGCTCATCACTGGCCGGTCTGCAAGACAGTCACTCAGACTGCAGACTGACATTCTGATAGAGATCCAGCAAACATTGTTCAGACTTGTTATGATGGGGCTTATGGTCACGTTCTTATAGATACCAGCGCATCATGGAGTTAAAGGAAATGAAACAGACTGGACAGCAAAAGTCGCAACGAGGAGACCGATGGTAGATATTAGTGTGAGTAGGACGGAGCTCAAGAGTAGAATACGATACAAAATGAAGGAAAGGTGGCAGAAGCAATGGGAGGAGGAGAGGAAAGGGCGATGGTTTTATAAAATCCAAAGGAAAGTGGGGGAAATGAGAAGTACAGGCCGAAACAGGAGAGAGGAGACGATTATATCTCGACTGAGATTCGGACACACTGGTTTAAATAGCACATTGTTTTTAACAGGTAAACACTGTACAGGGGAGTGTGGCTGCAGCAGGGAACAGGAAACAATAGAACATGTTTCCTTGAATTGTCAGAGGTTTGATATTGAAAGGAGACAACTGCTCAAAAAGCTGGACGATATGGACGTGAAGTTGGACTTGATTGATTTGTTTCGCACGACCTCTGTAAGTGAAAGTTATCGGGCTGTATTTTGGTTTTTAAGGCAGACCCATTTGTTCGAGAGAATTTGAATTTTTTTTTTGTCATTTCGGTCCACACCATCACGCCCTGCCGCAGCTCTGCCGTCAAAAACAGGCTCCCTGCAGCCACTAACAGTGAGTAGTATTAAACTCTCACTAAATTATATATTTTTCATCTCTGCTCACCAGTTTCTGGATCTTTTGTTTTTATAAGACTAAGACTGAACTTTATTTTTCCATGTTTGGCGATGTTCACATTCTGTTTAACTTGTTGCTTTTTTGAAGAAGTGCTGCAGACGAATGAAGCAGTCGAGTGACAAAAGTTAGTTGCTTGAAATGAAAGTTGTTTGTTTAAAACAAAAATTACTGACGGATTCAGTGAATCCTTCGGGGGGATAATATTTCTGCCATGTGAGGAATGATGTAAAAAGACTGAGAACCACTGGTTCAGGGAGATGTTGAAGACGTCTGCTCGGACGTCAGTCAGCTGACGATGAGGCGGCCTACATGGATGAAGTGAAGAATCTGGCATCGTGGTGCCAGGACAACCACCTCCAGCTGAACGTCAGCAAGACCAAGGAGCTGGTGGTGGACTTCAGAAGGGGTCAGCACAGAGACTACAAGCCCATCATCATCAATGGAGCTCCAGTGGAGAGGGTGCAGTCCTTCAAGTATCTTGGTGTTCACATCTCCTCAGACCTGACATGGGCTGCCCACATTCAGGTCCAGACCAAAAAGGCTAGGCAGGGCCTGTATCACCTACGACAACTGAGGAAGTTCAGGGTCTCTCCAAAGATCCTCAGGATTTTCTATACAGGCGCTGTGGAGAGCATCCTCACACAGAACATGACATCGTGGTTTGGGAACAGCTGTGTGAAGGACCAAAAAGCTCTCCAGAGAGTGATCCGTACAGCAGAACGCTGCTGCAGGATTGCTCTCCCCCCGCTTCAGGACACCTACACCAGGAGATGCTGGACTAGAGCAGCGCAGATACTGAAGGACCCGTCCCATCCTGGCAACAAACTGTTCCAACTTCTGCAATCTGGTAGAAGGTTCCGCATCTTCTGGGCAAGGACAGAGAGACTCAAGAGGAGCTTCTATCCCCAAGCCATCCGTGCCCTAAACACACACACCCGCCCTCTCACATCATCTATAATTGACTGAGACAGGACTCTTCCAGACACTAAACCAAGGCACAATGTACATTTCAATTCCTTTAATTTTAAATATGTTTATATTGTCTATCCTGTAAAATAGTCAGATGTCTATTCATATTAATGTACAGAATTCACCTGCTTGCTGCTACTACTGCACATTCACCCAGTGTATATACTATATGTATGTATATATATATATATATATATAATGTTCTTCCTCTACACCCCCCCCCCCCAATTTTTGCACATGTCGAGGAGCGTGTCAGGCTACATTTCACTGTGTGTTATACTTGTATAACTATGCATGTGACAAATAAAGAACCTTGAACCTTGAACCTTGATCAGCACAGGCTGTGAGGACAGTATATTGTCTGGTGCAGCAGCTTGTGGGGTGACTTTAGCGAGACTCCTTCTCACATCGTGGACAGGGACAGCACTCGTTTGTCTGGCGAGGGGTGGTTTTCTGTGCTGGCTCCTTGTTTTGAGTCTCAAACCTGGCGTAGAATGAATTAAGTGCTTCTGGCAGAGAGGCGGGGCCTTGTAATGATGGCTTGGATGTCTTGCCACATTCGCTGAGAATCTCTTGAGCAGGCGAAGTAATCACTGACTTTCTTTGAGCACTCAGGCTTTGTTAGCTTGATGCCCCAGCACAGATCGGGTCTTGTCAGTCTGAGCGCTGCCTCGTCGTTGGCCTTGAAGGCACCAACCCGTGCTTTCAGTAGTTCTTGAACGCCTGCAGTAAAGCATGGCTTCTGGTTAGTGCATGTTGTGACAATTTTGATGATGGTGGCATCTCCAATGCATATGTCACTGTCTCAGCATACTCATTTATGTCTATGTGATGTTCAGTGGTCGCCGCTTCTCTGAAGACGCTCAAAACTGTAACTACACTGCACTCTCCAGATTTTATTTTACATTTCTGTTATAAGACCAAACTTAGCCAAGGTGGACAGAAGTCACAATTAGAGCAGGGCGATATGGCCAAAAATATTTATCACGATATAGATTTGAAAATTTGCGATAACGATATAACTGACGATATAATTGATGTGAGACAAAATGCAACTCCACAACTTTGCTAGCGTTTACAGCATCCTGCCATGCGACTGTATTTGTCTCTAACCCTCAGGAACCTTCACATTAACTTTTATCGAGTGGAAAAGTGTTAGCTTAAATCCTGCAGCTTCACTGTTTATGTTATGCTAACATAGCTGTGTCGCTAGCGATCACGTAGCACATCATTATATAGCAGCTAGCCCAACTTCAGTAACTTTACAAACATCTCTGCTGTTTAGTTTCCTGTCTTCATTTATGTTGGAAGTGACAGCAGAGCTGTACATTTGAATTTTTTCAGAAATCTCTCAGACAGAACATGCTATATCATGTTTAGGTAACTAGCGAAACTAGCGAGCTAACTTCCGTTAACCACCTGCTAACTTCTAACTCCGTTAAATGTAATAAATTCTGTTTTCATGGATGCCTGGATGCTAAACTTCATAGTTACACCTGGTAAAGCAGCAACGCTGATCGTTTTATTAAAGATGAAAGAATTTAGACAGTTTTTAACTCTCAGTGACGCTGCAGTGTTCGTTTGACTTTGGGACTGACGGACAAACACCAAACCACTTCCACATCACTGAAGTGGCTCCATTTTTACAAACCTATTCTGGTTCATCCGTTTCACTCAACGATCCGCTTTCTCCATTCTCATTCTCCGTTGCCGCCATGCTTTTTCGGCCATGTGCGTATGAAAACAAAGGCACTGCACATGCGGGTTTTACCCATATTCTAACGCGATATTTCATTTTCTTATCGTTGCCTAACATTGTACCGGTATTACCGTGAACAGTATGATATGGCCCAGTCACAATGGAATTGTAGGTTGGAAATTTTCAATTTCAGTTCAGCTGGTTTTTTTTTAATTTAGCAACAACAGCCGAACACTTAATAAACTGGACGAGGCAGCAGATTTTCTAGGTTTGCACAAACTAGTCTGTTAATTATTAAGACTGGAATATCAAAAATGGGCAACTGGCAGATTTATGACCTGATGTGTGAAAATGCTCTAACTCTTGATTGAACTGTACAATATACACAAAATGTTTTGTTTACAGAGATAATGAACAACGTCATCAAGAAGGCAAGAGAAAAAGGAAAATGGAAGGTAATTGTCATTAACATCATTATTCATACGAAGTTGGATATCTGTGATTCAAAGATAAACAAAGACATTCATTAAGTATCAGATATAGTAGTTTCCTTTGCTATGTGTGATTTTATTATAGGTTTTGGTGGTGGACAAGCTGAGCATGAGGATGGTGTCCTCCTGCTGTAAGATGACAGACATCATGTCTGAGGGAATCACTAGTAAGTACTACCAACCCAGCCACACCCAGCTCACTCGTATGGAAGCCCGTTTCCGCCACACAAAAAAAAAAAAAAGGATCCATAACTCAAAATTTCGAGTTATTTTCTCGAAATTCTGAGTTACTTTCTCAAAATTCCAATTTATTAACTCAAGATTTTGAGAAAAGTAACTCGAAATTTCGAGTTAGCGCTGCCAATCAGTAATCTACGTGAATGACGTCATTTCCTCGTTACCCGGAAGCTGAAGCCTCAGCTACAAATGCTACAGCTAAGCTGCCGGTATTACATCCAGTCGTGAATGCACAGATTGCTGAGTGTTTTCAGCCTGGCTTCACAAATGATGAAATCCCCGTGTTATTAGCTGAATCACATGGTGTTGCTATCAGCAAACGTACTCGCGAAAGCGCCAATTTGTTGGGATCCGTTTTTGAGTGCGCGTTCCTCTGCGCCATATGCTTCCGGGTAACAAGAAAGCGACCTCATTCACGTATATTTTTGATTGGCAGAGCTAACTCGAAATTTTGAGAAAACTAACTCGAAATTTTGAGTTATGGATACTAGCTGTTTTGTTTTTATTTAGTGACGGAAACGGGCTTCCATACACTTGACCTGTAGCTGTGTAGTTAGTTTAATCTGTTTTAAATAAATCAAATTTAACTCTAATTTCTAATTAAGTTAAATGTATCCAACAGTGTTTACAGTGTGAAAATATTTCTATATTTATTTATTTTTTTGCAAGGTAATTGAAATATTAGAAAAGGATAAGATCAGCTGTGCGGTTCCTCGGTCGTTGATCCAGTGTTTAGTTTATTTTCCTCTGTTCTCAGTTTAAAGTTTCTTATTGATTTCCAGTGTTCTTGTAATTATGTTGTGAATTACATGCTGGAGTTCAATGTTCGTAGTTGTGATCTAGTCCCAGAGTTTGACTTCATGTTTATTTTTCTTATAGCAGTCTGTTGAATACCGGCTGTTTAGTCTTCCCTACGTATCCCATGCCCGGTGTACGTGTCTTACTTTCCAATCCATCAGTCATGTGCCAGTTTTACTTCCCCCTTTGTGTTTCGTTAGATTCTGTTCACCTGTTCATTGTCCTCATGTGTGTATTTAAGCCTTCTGTTTTCTTCAGTTCCTTGTTGCATTCTACCAACAGGTGTGTTCCAGTATTGTTTTTTACTTTTGCAAGTTCCAATAAAAAAAGCTGTCTTTTATGAGTTCACCATTTTGAATAAAAATGTCAGATTAAAGACAGGCTTTGGTATCCGTTCCCACCAGAACATTGCTGACTAAATAGTACTTTAACTGTGAGAAACATGGCACCAGGTAGTGACGGTGTGATGAAATCCCTTGAATGTGTCGACTTTTTCCAGCCAATTGCTTTGCCAAAAGGCAGATCACACGAAGCTCCGTCCAACAGCTCATTTGGGAGTACTGCTGCGATGATGCATGTGGGCTACATACCAAACGTAATGATTAGGGATGTTACTGGCCATTAATTTCTTAGTTGACTAACTGTGGAAAAAATTCCACTAACAACTAGTCTAAAATTAAGAAAAACTCAGATCCATCCATCCATTCGCTTATCCTTTTCAGGGTCGCGGGGGGCGCTGGAGCCTATCCCAGCTGTCATAGGGCGAAAGGCGGGGTACACCCTGGACAGGTCGCCAGTCTGTCGCAGGGCCAACACACAGGGACAGACAACCATTCACACTCACATTCACTCGCACATTCACACCTAGTGACAATTTGGATTAATCAATTAACCTATCCCCACAAGCTGCATGTCTTTGGACGGTGGGAGGAAGCCGGAGTACCCGGAGGGAACCCACGCAAACACGGGGAGAACATGCAAACTCCACACAGAAAGACCCCGGCCTGATGGAGGAATTGAACTCAGGACCTTCTTGCTGTGCGGCAACAGTGCTAACCACCGTGCTGCCGTGCTGCCCAAAAAAAACAACTCAGATATTAAGTTAAATTTAAGAACCATCCATTTAATGGAAAACGTCAAAACTAATATCAGAGGTGTTTTGGAGAAAGCTAATTTCCGCCACATGTAGAAGCTTCGTCAGTTCTAATGTCGAGTGGTGGAGAGTCCCAGATTTAAGTCCTGGGGGAGTGTCCCCAAGAGGGGATCCTTTAATCACACGAGTCAGCAGTGTTGGGCAAGTTACTTTGAAAAAGTAATTAATTATAGTTACTAGTTACTTCTTCAAAAAAAGTAACTGAGTTAGTAACCGAGTTACAAGATTCTAAAAGTAATTAATTACAGTTACTAGTTACTTCTTCAAAAAAAGTAACTGAGTTAGTAACCGAGTTACAAGATTCTAAAAGTAATTAATTACTTGAAAAGTAACTATTTCGTTACTTAAAAAAAAAAAACGTTTAACCCTTTTGATGTTTCCTCCACATTTCAACTTTAAAAAGTATTTATTTGCCTTGTTTGGTATCATCCTTTTCAGCACAACCTCGCGTGTCTGAATTTACAGTTATGTTTTCATTTTGACATACTGTATTAACACAATTGATCTAAAATCAGACAAAACACATAAAATCCGAGTAGAAAAAGTTATATTTTTACTGTAACAACCACAAACATGTTTAATGAATCATGTTTCATAACTTTAAATGCAAAAATAAATTGACAATTTTAAAATTATATGTACAACATCACAACCTGATACCTGCAGGTCTGACAGCAGCAGGTGCATCACTCCTGTTTCTATCTGGAGACAGCAGTCACCTCATTGTTCTGACACACAACACAAAACTATCCACAACACTACACACTAACTACACAAGACAACACGTCACTCCTAAAACTTCCCCCTATTCCTAAACAACCAAATTTCGTGTTGCCATGTCATTTTTTGATTTGTGATTATATATCGTTGTTGGGATGATAAGTGTCTTATATTGGGATATGAGACTTTAACCAGCCTGATGAACGCACTGACCTTGCTCTTTATCCACTTCAGTTGTCGAAGATATAACAAAGCGGCGTGAACCTCTGCCCAGCATGGAGGCCATCTACCTGATCACACCCTCAGACGAGGTAAATAAAGCAGTTCCTCTACAGCAGGGGCGTCCAGCTGCAGTCCTTGAGAGCTGCTGTCCTGCAGCTTTTAGACGCATCCTTGCTCCGACACACCTGAATCAAATGGGTGGCTTGTTACCAGGCCTTTGTCAAACTTGATAACCATTGATTCAGCTGGTTGGAGCAGCGATGCATCTAAAAGCTGCAGGACGGCAGCTCTCGAGGACTGGAGCTGGACACCTCTGCTCTACAGCCTCATTATGTGATTTTCTTCATTGCAAATGTTTGTCCATCAAATTAGAAACGACACTTTCCTTTGATTTGAATCCTTTACTACAATACATTTAGTTTGATGTTTGCTTTCAGTGATATGTAACTCACTCAACAATGTAGCAATGAATTATTAGTCTGTTCGTCTTTGCTCTTTCAGTCTGTCGAGGGTGTGATTGAGGACTTCAGAGACCCTCGGACTCCGAGGTACAAAGCCGCCCACGTCTTCTTCACTGACAGTGAGTAGACCAAAATCACACCCACAACATACACGATTTAGTTTTATTTATATAATTCCAAGTCATAACACATGTGGTCTCAGGACACTTTATATAACGAGGTTAAGACCATATCAGGATCACTACTCTCTTTAACTCGAAGCACGTTTACTGTATTTAAAAATCTTCACAGGTGTCTTTGGTTTCTGTATTTTTTCATCTGTCAGTATAGTTTCACAGCTGTTACTGGCTGGATGATGCTGTTTTGTCTTTCTTTTTTCCATTGGGAGATAAATACAACTGAATAAATGTAACTGAAAGTAAAATATCCTAAAATTTTAAGTTTTACAAAATGTAAAATAATTAGCAGCTTTTAATAGTGCAAAATAGGCTCTTTGAGGAGTCACTATGACTAATAAATACCACTGCTAGTCCAAAATAGTAGATCATACAATACTGAAAACACATTTTAATAAAGTCCAACACGCCACACTGCAGCGGTGCTTTGTAGACAAGTGGGCAAAGTTACAGTCATTTAACTCGTGCAAATCCACGTGAATTTAGTACGCCTACATTTGCTTTTCAAAAAAGGAATTTAATTTGAAAAAAACAGGAAAAGAGTCTTTATCCAAACTTGGTCAGAGGGGTTACAGTCAGAGTGAGACGACAACAACAGGGCCCCTGAACACATCCTGGTCCCCAAACAGCTACAGATGCTCCACATATTTCCAATCATGCATGTCTCTATCACAGTATTTCACTGTGTTAAATGACTTTGGTTGTGCTTTTGGCTTTTTTTCCATTCCTTTGGACTGTTTTAGGTTTTGTGCATGTGTAATGTCTGCCCAGCTTCCACAGCAGCATGTTGTTTTTTCTCGCCTGTGAAAGCTGAATGAATAAAAGACCTCCACAGCAGTGCAGGCTTTTCTTCCCTTTATCTGCTTCAGTGCTATGTTACAAAGTGAGTTATGTTTTTAAAGGCAGACACATTCTGCAAATTCCATGACAGTTTGCACACACAGACACAGGTCTGGTGGAAATGTTTTATTAAACTCAGACATGGTCATTGCAACATGGCTCCATAACAACACCTAATTAATGAAGTAGGTCTTTAGCATCGTTTATGGTGAATGACGCATAAACTTAAATTGACAACTTTATGGGGCTGATTTGACCATTTCCAGGCATTAGACCGTTCCAAACTCCTCCTCTGGATTTTATTGGAATCATTGTTTGGAACTTAAGAGCTGGTCAGTCTGAACTACTGACCATTTCCATTAAATCTGTCTGTGGTGTCAAGCAAATTTTAATAATTTGCCATGGACCAAACGTGGCTGTTATAAGTCTTTGAGACTCAACACATCCACTGGTAATGTTTCATATTAGTCATAGCACCAGTTAGTGAGAACGGGGAGCAGGCGGGTCCCAGTTCTGACTGAACAGAGCCATCTACAATGTGGTCATGAAAGCCTTAAAAGGTTAAGTGTTTCTTTTTATTGCCACTTTATTAAGGACGTGACCCTGACAGCAGGGTGAACTTTGTTTACTGTAACTCAAAGACACGCGAGCTCCAAATGTCACATGTTTGACAGAAGTCAAAGTATTCAGTCGTCTGAACGTGAGAGACATCTCTTTCCTAATCCATATTAATATGACGTGTTTTATCTTTGGCTGTATTTTGTTTTAATAATTTCTATATTTGTATTCCTCTGTTTGACTTTGATAAGCTGCCCATTACTACTGTAAATATGGACAGAAAAACTACACGTGCTTAATTATACTTTTATCTAAGACTGATTTAATGCGGCTGAAGTTATTTACAATTTTCACTCAAAAAAACCCCCAAAATCACTCCTTTGTTCAAATGTGTATTTTGGACAGAAAAGGAAACAGAATCCAGAACCATAAACACCATGTTGAGCCAAGCAGATAAAATAAATGAAACATTTAATTCTTACTCTGTAAAACCTACAGTTTCTCTAAGTAAACCAATATGTTTGTCTTTGCTTGCAGCAATCCCAGACTCTTTGTTTGGACTCTTGACCAAATCCCGCGCTTCTAAAGCGATGAAGGCCTTGACTGAGATCCACATAGCCTTCCTGCCCTATGAGTCTCAGGTAAGATCCTGGCCACCATCAGTCATGACTGATGGGTAACAATATTCTTATTGAGTGTTTTGAGATCTTTGTGTTTGTATAATTTGAATACAGATGAATGAATAGTCAGTAAAATCTCAGCTGTCTTTCCACGATTTATTGAACTAAGCTACAAGTTGACTTTTCATGTTGCAAGGAAGTGAGAAGAAAACTGATTGTGCTGAAACCATGTAACACATTTATGACCAGATTTAAGAACGTTGCATTATTAATGAGTAGAAGGAGACGAATCAGCTTTGCACAAGGTTCACAAGGTACCAGTTTGATTTCAGGATTATATAAGACCACCAGTAACCACCCAGACTCAGGCCTGCATTAAACTGGGAACTGCTGCAACACTGAAACACTGTGCACATGGGAGGTGTTGAGGATGTATCCTGTAGTGTTGCCTCTGTATACCACTTTACAATATTAAATATTCAATCAAATAGTCAGCCCAGTTATTGTCCAGTTATTTCTGAGCCTGTGAAAACTGAGCACTATGTAAAGAAATGGCTTTAATTACTTAATGCTGAAATTCAGTTCGATTAAAGCTGAATCCCTGCACTTCAATCGAGTATTGCTGCGTCTAAAATCCAGTGTTGTGGTGCAGATGGGAAACTATACAACTGTGTGTCGTCTTTGTACTGTTTTCTGTCGTCAGGTCTTCTCCCTGGATAAAGTGGATGCTTTCCAGGACTTCTACAGTCCCTTCAAGGCTGACGTGAAGAATAACATGTTGGAGCGTTGTGCTGAACAGATTGCCACCCTCTGTGCCACGCTGAAAGAGTATCCAGGAGTTCGATACAGAGGGTGAGCTCCTTTTGATTTTTTTAAAGACTGAATTGGCTTTCTATTTAAAAAGTGGTGATCTCTGATCCTGTGGGTCTGCCCCAGTAGGTCTGCAGGGTTTGGATGGAGCCAACGGGGATTCGCCCAGTACTAACTGCCTCTCTCCTCTGGGTGTCTACCATGTCTCCTCTGATTAAAAATCAGGAGCCCTGAGCAGGCTCAGTGCTGGTGGAATACAACTGGAGAATGTCAACAGTGCAGACTTTGAATGTAGCAGACTGTAGCTTTAGCAGCAGCAAAGCACTTATACTTATCAGCCTGCTACAAGCCTATGCTGACTTTGTTCTGATCTTTGTGAGGAAAATGCTTGGAGAGGACAAGCACAACCAGATCTAAAGATTCACTTATCTAGCAGCATTCCTTGGAAATTCAATCCCCCAGGAATACAGTAGAAATCCAACATGGCACAAATGAGCAGAGAAAAATAGAGTAAAACCATCAAAACCAATTTGCAGCGTCACAGTTTGTGGTTGATCCCTCTGGTGTGGTCTGTGCTTCACATTCCAGCTTCTTATTTCCAATCTCCTGACCTGACTTATATTGTAGAAAAGAATGGGAAGAACGACTTATCTCCTCTGCACAGCACTTTTGACCTTCTGAACATTACATCATTCAAGATGACCTTAGTCCCTCTGTGACACCCGTTCACCGTTGTTGACACATAATGACCTGATGTCCTGATATCCAGCAGCTCCTCAGCATCCTCTGACTTTTCAACAAACATGATTTGAAACAAAGTTTAAAATCTAAACTTTAATATCACTTCATTTTCTGTCTTTGTATGATGCACTTTACAAGATTTTTCTGTGTATGTGTGTGTGTGTGTCATAATATGCTCCATACTGCTCCCATCACACACACACACACGTTTAAGTCTAGATCATGTCTACGCACACACTCATTTCTATTCTAACACATTAATCACACTTGTACTTTGATTGCATCTCTGATCAAGAATGAAGATCTTTCATTATTAGCAAAAGCACATTTAGACTTTTAACATAACAGGCTGGATGTTAAGGCCTTTTCCCCTCAGACATGATCGGAGGTGAACCATCAGACTTCAGTCTCTGCTTTCTGGACGGGGTGGTGTGCACATCTTTCTCAAAGCAAACTCTACCAGAAGACAAAGAGGCCTGAGGGCTTTGTGTTGTTCTGAGGTTTAGCAGTTTAGCAGAAGACACTGTTCTCTTCTGGACATAGGTCTAATTTTGTTCCTGGAAAATGCTGGAGCTACTCTTGCAGTTTGGATGTATGCGGCACAAATGTTCTCGTAGTCCACTTGCTTGATCCAAGTGCTGACTCAGCTTGCATCGTCCCGTCCTGCTATCATGTACCAGGCTGTCTGCAGGCCGCCTGTGATAGACTCCTGTCTCTATCTGGATCTGTTCTTGTGCTGCCTTGATCAGAGCTTCTGTGTTGTCCTTTAGGCTGGCGTCTTTCCGTTGCTTGTAAAGCCACGTGATGCTGTAATTTTGGGTGGAACCCTCCATGCATTGTGGAGAAAGTGACATCAATATCCTCCTGTTGTCAGCCTATTATTTCAGTTGAGTATCTGCTGACTGGGATATGTGTTGATATTCCTGTCAAGGATATCCTTATTCCATCCCACTGAGCTGTCCTACCTCCTGGAGGAATCACACTGTGGGTTTTTGTGTATTTCTTGTGGTTCCTGTCTGAGATGCCCGGCCCCCTCCTCTATCTTGCTTTTAACAGCTTGAATTTGGATGACCGTCTTCTTCTTGCCAACACTGTTTTATTAGAATCTGATTTCTGGATGATTTCTCTTATTTCTAAATAAGCCAAATGTTTTCTTCCTGGCTGTCGCTTCCATGCTGTTTGATTTTTAAAATGTGCATGAACTAATACCTGGATAAATGAATACCTGTGTGTGTTTGGATTAGGGACTACAAAGACTGTGCAGTTCTGGCTCAGATGCTTCAGGAGAAGTTGGATGGCTACAAAGCTGATGACCCCACCTTGGGAGAGGTAATGAAGTGAAATGACTAGATAATGAATGGAAGAACCAGATTATGGTAAACATGTGGACATTTCTGAAACAAGAGAAAAACAGAGGAAATTACACACAATGTAATAAATCGTACCCAGCTCTAATCTGCCATAACATCCAGGTTGCTTTTATCGATCATTAGTTCTTTTACAAGCTGCATTAAAAACTGTACAGCTGTTACACGTGTTAGAGTTAAGTAAGAAAAGAATAAACTCACATAGTAAATAGATTTTCACTCAGCTGTAGTTTTAGTTTTCAGTGTTGGGGGAGATCAGCTGGACTGCTCCCATGATTAAGCATCGACTACGTCACTGTTGAGTGGGTAACCATCCACAGAGGATGAAACAGACGTTATGGTCTGTCTGTGGGCTCCATTGTTCTTGGGGCGATAACTAAGCTGCTTCAGTTCTTCCAAAGGTTAAACTGATTGCTGTTGGAAGAAAGACGTGTGTTACATGTTAAAGCAGTGTTTTCTATATGCTCTGGTGCCTCCAGGGTCCCGACAAGTCTCGCACTCAGCTGCTCATTCTGGACCGAGGCTTTGACCCCGTGTCACCTCTCCTGCATGAGCTCACACTGCAAGCCATGGCCTACGACTTACTGGGAGTCGAGGATGATGTTTACAGGTAGAGATGCTACTAAAGGAGGTCTGACACCTGCCACATGCATTTTTTAATGTTATGACTGAAGGTTTGGGTCACACAAATAGAAATAATAGCGACAATGTGAAAATCAAGCAGTCTGTTAACACGTGTCTGTTAACACGTGTCTGTGAGGTTTGAGACCAGCGGGATGGGAGAAACCAGGATGAAGGAGGTAGTGCTGGACGAGGATGACGATCTGTGGCTGAGTCTGAGACATAAGCACATCGCTGAGGTGTCGACGTAAGTGGCTTTCACCTCCTGCTCACAAATGCAGTCAAACAAAGGACCGGTCCCTGCTGTCACTAACGTGCTTGCTCAGGATACTGAGAACTTTTTCTTTTACGTGTCCTCTTTGTGTCTCACTATGCACAGAGCTGTGACTCGCTCACTAAAGGAATTCTCTGCCAGCAAAAAGATGAACACTGGAGAAAAGGTAAAGGCCACGGCGTGTCTCTGTGTTCGGCTTTCTGGATCCTCTGTTCGTCCTTCACATAGTTACAGTGAAAACAACATGACCATACATTTGTTCACTCATCTCAGTCACTTCCTACCACCAATCACTAAATTCTCAAAGATTCTCAGACAGTTCATATAATAATAATAATAATAATAATAATGGATTGGATTTATATAGCGCTTTTCAAGGCACCCAAAGCGCTTTACAATACCACTATTCATTCACTCTCACATTCACACACTGGTGGAGGCAGCTACGGTTGTAGCCACAGCTGCCCTGGGGCAGACTGACAGAAGCGAGGCTGCCATATCGCGCCATCGGCCCCTCTGGCCGACACCAGTAGGCAAGTAGGGTAAAGTGTCTTGCCCAACGACACAACGACCAGGACAGAGAGCCCAGGGATCGAACCGGCGACCTTCCGGTTACAGATACGCTTCCCAACCCCCTGAGCCACGGTCGCCCCGTATGTCGAGTTATCGAGCAAGTCATCAAAAGTCAGCATTATTAATGACTAATAACCTTTCATTCACACTAGTGAGTCTGTTGTCTTTGTAGATGAAAGGTATTTGTTCTGTGTGTCTCTGTAAGAAGCACAGCACACTAAGAAGCCTCTGTTAATGTGCACAAAATCTTCATTTTTTATCCATAATTGGAAACTTTTGTTCTTTGAAATCAGCATTAAAGCCACTTTTGGTTTATTCTGCCTCCTCTCAGTCCTGCAGCTAATGCCTGCCGCTTCAAATAGGATTTTCAGTTACTGGAAAAATATTCACAAACATATATCGATGTGTACGCAATAAACTGAGCTGTAAACTTGTACTTTACTCGCAACTATTTGTAACGCTAAGTTATTTAAGGACTAGTTTATGGCAATGGATGAATTTACTGACTGACGCGCAGAAGAAATAGTTCTTTATGGAGCCTAGATGGTGTGAATGATGAGACCAAAAACTGCAATGTCTTGTACCAAAAATATATTGAATAAATAGGGGAAAGGGGAACAAAAATAATTAACACAACACACAACGTAAATGTCCACAATTAAATAATAAATCAATGCTGTGATTTTTCTGTGCAAGAGTCCTTTTGCTAAGTCCTTTTTTTTTTGGTCCTTTTCTTTTTAAAGTTCACTTTTAAGGTATTCCTCCTTAGGGTCCAGCTTCATACAATGGGGAAATATGTCCGTAATCCAAAGACGGCTAAGTGGGGGAAAAGAGGGGAAAACAAAGGATGGTCCTACCGGCTCGCCACTTCAATATGAAGAAGATCAATTCAAAGGGGGGGAAAAAACCTGGCCTGTAGGTCAGAAAAATGTCCATTAGCACATCAAGTTCAATTCAGTTTACCGGTAAACAAATATATTCTTCTGCAAGTCTAGGTAACAATGCAAATCATAAATCATCATCAATCAATGTACAACAGTTAAATCATTAATCATCTTGGCTACGTAGCTTAATCTATACAGTCCAGTAGCGTTCGCTACAAACAATACAAAAACAACAATAAAGGAAAACAACTGTCTAACAGACAGCATAGCCGAATTCAAGGCAACACATAACAATAATCATTCAATCGCACTTTGTTTCAAAGTAAGCCCATAAAAATGTTTAAGTAAACAAAAGTGTTCAAAAACAGCAGTTTATGAACCGGAGTTCTGCTCGCGGTGGGAACGCTGCCGCACAAAGTCATTTTTTAATCGTGAAAACGATCGGCTGGTTACTGACAACCAATGGTTGAAAGATATTAAGGACACTTACTGCTGAGTTTAAAGTTTAAAGATGAATTGAGGAGAGAAAACGCTTTGTTTTCCAATACCGCTCTAAATGCCATAAGCTCACAGCCACAGCAGGAGTCGAACCCGGAAGTATCCCTCCACAGCCGGTTTTCAGAGTTGCCGCGACGTGAAAGGAGCCAATCAGAAGAGGGACCTCAAATCAGCTGACGTGGGTCATGTGACAGGCAGTAGTTGATATGGGTTACATATTACTCTACTAAGGAGTATTAGACACATTCAGAAAAAAAAGTTATGGTTTACTTTGCAAATAAACTCCAAATTTTGTAGATCAAACTTGAAATAATATTTATATTAAGTCAATGTGGAGATAAAAGGAGTTGTTATTGCAATTCAGCTCCAATGGCTGCCTTGTGTAAGTTAGTTGGTGAAATTGTGCTTCTACTACTACTAAACACGAGTGTGGTGTAAAGTAGGGTTGTGTGGTATAAGGATGCTGCAGAAACATGCATTCAATCAGAAGGCAGTGGGTGTAGTCATGGCGATGGCTAAGATGCATGTTACATCAAAAGACACAATGAGACAGGTGATCGAGCTGTCTCACTGACCCAACAACACGAGGCATGTGCAGAGTGTGTAGCTGCACTGGGAGTTGACTTAAAATGACAAGTTCAACTTTATCCTCAAACTGTTTCAACATTACTGTCAAAATGAACAATGTTTCCTGATCCATTGTGGATTTACACCTGCTTGATTGCAACCTCTCTACTGACAAATTCATGAATTTGCGTGCTTTGGCTTTTGCAACACTTCTTGCGCAGATACCTGAAACCCGTCATTCCTCATTAGGTCCAGCAGCAAAAATGAGGGTGAACAAGCATTTTGGCTGTCAGTAATATTGTTAGCTAACTAGCTCTCCAGCATAAATAACACTGATCAGTATGGTGCTGTGACATTAGTGTCACATCAGTGTGTTCTCGTGCAGTTTGGCTCGTTGTTAGCAGCAAAAGAGGACAGTCAGCTGAGCCCTCGCTCTCAACCACAGGACTCAGGGGCATCAGGACATTCCACTTTAAATGACGCAAAACTAGTCTTCCTCAGTACGTTCTTGCTTCATGCACCCATGGTGCCAGTGCGCTCTTCCAGCCAGCATGTAGGCTTTATCAAAAAAGAAAACAAAAATGATATTGACCCACAAGCTCCAGATTACCAGTCCAGCCCTGTTGTTACCAACAGCCAAGATGATCGTTCACTCTCAGTTGTGCTTATGTAGCAAGGACTGAGGGATTTCCAGTGTCTGCATTGATTCCAGTAAGAATAATGGCAGGGACTAGAAAGAGACTGTATGTTTCTCCCATATTAGCTCCTCTTCATCGGCTCCCTGTCAAATCCAGAATCAAACTTCAGATCCTTCTCATCACATGAAAGCTACCACGCCCCACCTTATCTTGGTGACCTTATAGCACTGCGTCACCTTCACGTGATGCACTGGTGGCCTCCCCTCCCGTGGCCTGGTTCTGGTGGAGGTTTTTCCTCACTGTTGCCCAAATGCTTGCTCAGAGGGGGTCATGTGATTGTTGCGGTTTTCTCTGTTTGCTTTGCATTGTTGTGGGCTCTTTATCTTACAGTATAAATCACCTTGAGGTGCTTGATTTGGTCCTATAAAAATACAATTGAATAGCCTGTCTTGCCTGTAGTGGGATATTGCCTGTTTTGGCTGATACTACTGTACAAATCTTTGGTGTTTCAATCACTGGCTGCCTTAAAAAAATGTTTTTTCTCTTTTTAAATATACAGAATTCTACCGACGACTCCTTTAAACATCTGCTCAGCCTACAGGACAAACAAAACCTCAAAAACTCATCAAACTGAAGTTCTTCAAAATTATTCTATTAATATAACATTACAGTAAATATGATAAAATTATATATTAATATTACAATCAATTAAATATTGATATTTGGGATATGAAAGGCTTTGTACTCCTTTATGGAAGACATTTAAATGAAGGTGCAGATAATAAGTCATATAAGTGAATAAAAACATGATCCTGGTCCTTATGAGGGTAAAAAGCAGATAAATGTATTCAAAACATTGTTCAGTCAGTGGAGAATAAAACAGTAAAAGCATTTGGTTTATTGTTTTAGTTGTGTAGCATCATTTGTAGCTGATGTTGTTGTTGAAAGAATCTTTCATACCCAGTGAGCCAATGAATGAAGACATTTTATTCACTGCAGGTGTCTCATTGTCTTTCAGACCACCATGAAGGAACTCTCGCAGATGCTGAAGAAGATGCCTCAGTATCAGAAAGAGCTCAGCAAGGTAGGAGCTAAAGTCACAACAGACAACAGCGTTCATGGAATACTGAATCTGCGTATATGTTTACCTCATTATTCAAAATTGTGGTCACATTTAATCATGATGTTGTAGAATTATACTGCAGACATGACAGAAACCAAAAGAAAACATTAGCAGCAGCTTCTTCTGCTATGAAGTACATACATACATACAACGTGCTGCTTTCCCCTCAGCATAAGCATAAATTATTATAAAGTTTTTGTCTTTTTATTCTCAGTCCATATGAGAATATTTTGTTTAATGTGTTGAATTTGTTTATAGCTGTGAACTATATTGATGTAGAGATGTGTGGATAATCCACAACACATTTGGTTCTGACACTTCATGACAAACAGCACGAGGAAACAAGCTCATTTAGAAGCGTTATGTAGAAAATATTAAGATTATTATTAAAATTTAATAAAGTTTAGATCTGATGGTGGTCACTTTGTCAGCCTGACTGGCAGCGTCTCTCTCTCTCTCTCTCCTGCTCAGTATTCAACCCACCTCCACCTGGCTGAGGACTGTATGAACCGCTACCAGGGCACCGTGGACAAACTTTGCCGTGTGGAACAGGTAAATCATCAAAACTCTGTTGGATCTGTCAACACTGAGGGAACAGGCCTCAGGGTCTTGTTTCAGTGTGACCGCTGGGAGCATTTAGAGTGCCGTGACAAAATATTTGTCCCCTTCCTCATTTCTTTGCATATTTCTCACACTTAAATGTATGACATCATCAAACAAATTCTAATGTTAGCCAAAATGTTAGCTAAAAAGAAAGTGTGGTTTGTCGCTATTATTGGACATGAGGGTTGAAAAAAGGGTTTTCAGCTTTAACAGCTCTGTGACACTCGAGTATTCTTTCTTCTGAAACTTTGAGGCGATCTTTCGCCCATCGTCTCTCTGGGCATTGCCAAGTAAGCCAGGAGTTTAAACCAGATATTCTCCACTTAACCATCCAAGGTGGCAGGGGAACAACATGAGAACAGAACAGCAAGGCTGGAGTAATATGGGAGAAGTATGCAACGCATCTTCATTAATCCTGGGAAATCAGTATCAGTTGAATGATTGAGGTAAAAACATTATGACAAGATCAGAACTAATAAATAGGCTGATATTTAACACAAATGACTCTCGTTCATTTATTCTCCACGAATTGAAATCCACTTCTTTTTACACAAAATCACAATCACTTAGTTTAAAAGAGGAAAAGAGAAAAACAAATGAAATGGAACAAATTAAAAAAGAGGATTTCTGCATTTCCTAAAGCTGCACAATGTTAAGCAGAATTAATGTTCAGTGTGAAGGTCATCACTGTCACTCTCCAACATTTGCATGCTGTTCAATGCAAATACAACAAAACAGCACAAACATGTTCTCTGAAGGTTGTTCCAGCTGCCATGTTGTACGTTGTCCCATCCAGCACTGGGTAGTGATGTGCGAATCATGAACGAATCGTTCAATGCTCGAGAATCACTTTACTGACTCGTGAATCACGATTCACAAACCCAACTGACTCACTGACTCATCCCTGTGGCTGTTAGCAAACTAATTCCATTAGTACAAATATATCTAGCTTATAATTAAAATTGTGGGGGGGAAAAAACAGCCAGTTTCTTAACAGAAACATTTCTGCTCTGAACTGGAAGAAAAAACCCTGAGTAGAAGCTCACATCAAGACAGTTGCTCCTCAGTTCACAGTAGCATCGCTCTGCTAACATGCTAGCAGCACATTTGAGCTACTCACCCCCTCCCTCCTGGCTCACAGCTTCTTCTTCTTCTTGGTTGGCAACCAATGTTAAGGAGCATTACCGCCCCCTGGCACACAGCTCAGTGGACATTTAGATGAGAAAAAAGGAAAATACTTAAATAATAAAATAAAATAAATGTTCTCTTTAGAAATCTTAATTTTATTTGCTCTTTTTTGCTCTATAAAAATAGTTGTTTTTCTTCTTCAATCATTCATCTTAGCTGTAGGATTTACATGAAAAGAGAAACAGAGTGAAAATGTACATTTGTTGCACTCTCTGGTCAACTGACTCAGTGACTCAAAAAACCCGATTCACTTTGGTGAGTGACTCATTCAAACTCGATTCAGTAAAAAGAATCGAATTTACCATCACTAGTACTGGGCACCTCGTCATGTTGTTGGACACTCTCTCTGCTAATGTCCTCTTTCTCCGCATGTATTACTGTTCGTATACATGCTCTGTAGAACAGGTGTGCCCCTTGATCTCTTTTGGGTCCGTATATAACAAATAACAAACCGTGGGTAACACAGGAAGTCAAAGCTGTCCTCAACATGAAGAAGAAGGCTTTCAGGAGCAAAGTGAAGGAGGAGATGAAAGCAGCACAGCGGGAGGTGAAACGCTGCCTGAGGGAAGCAAAGGACACCTACAGGAGGAAGGTGGAGCAGAAGTTGGAGAGGAACAATATGAGGGAGGTCTGGAATGGTGTGAAAACCATCACAGGCCACAACACCAAGAAAAGCACAGTGGGGGGGACTGTGGAGAAGGCAAACGAACTCAACAACTTCTTCAACAGGTTTGACCAGCCCACAACCCCCCCACCCTCACCTTCACTACAGAGTCCTCTCCCCACTCTCCTACCTCCCTCGCTTCCCCCCCTTCCTGACACCATGACACCCCCCTCCTCCAATCCCTCTCTCAGCAGCAAGACATCTCCCCCCCTCCCCTCCTCCCAAACATCTCCCAGTGTCACAGTGGATCAGGTCAGGAGGCAACTGAGGAAGCTTCGCCCCAGAAAGGCAGCAGGCCCAGACAAGGTGTGTCCTAGGATGCTAAAGGCGTGTGCTGCTGAACTTGGGGAGCCGCTACAACGAGTCTTCAACCTCAGTCTGCGACTGGGGAGAGTGCCCGCCCTATGGAAGACATCCTGCATCGTCCCGGTCCCTAAAAAGAACCGGCCCAATGAGCTGAATGACTTCCGACCGGTGGCACTGACGTCACATCTTATGAAGACTCTAGAGCGGCTCTTCCTCAACCTCCTCCGACCACAGGTACAACATGCCCAGGACCCACTACAGTTTGCATACAAGGTGGATGTCGGAGTGGAGGATGCCATCCTGTACCTCCTACACAGAGCCCACTCACACCTGGATGGGGGAAAAGGCACGGTCAGGATACTGTTTCTTGACTTTTCCAGTGCCTTTAATACCATCCGGCCCTGTATGCTTCAGGAAAAACTGAACAGGATGGAGGTGGACCCCTGCCTGGTGGCTTGGATCTCCGACTACCTCACCGACAGACCACAGTACGTCAGGCTGAAGGACATCACGTGTGGTCAGCAGCACAGGAGCACCACAGGGAACTGTGCTGTCCCCTCTTCTCTTCACCCTGTACACCTCTGACTTCTGCTACAACTCTGAATTATGCCACATTCAGAAGTTTGCAGACGACACGGCCATCATGGGGTGTATCTGGGATGATCAGGAAGAGGAGTACAGAAGTCTGGTGAGGAACTTTGTCGCATGGAGTCACACAAACCACCTGCAACTCAACACCTCAAAGACTAAGGAACTGGTTGTGGACTTCGGGAGGTCCAGAGAAGGTCCACTGCCGGTTCAGATAGAGGGGGAGGAGGTGGAGGTGGTCAACAAGTACAAGTACCTCGGGCTGTGGGTGGACAATAAACTGGACTGGTCATGCAACACAGAGCACCTGTATAAAAAAGCCCAAAGCCGACTGTACTTCCTCAGGAGGCTGAGGTCTTTTAACATCTGCAGGAAGCTCCTGAGGATGTTTTACCAGTCAGTGGTTGCTGGAGTACTTTTCTATGCTGTGGTGTGCTGGGGGAGCAGCACAGCAAAGAGGGACTCATCCAGGCTGGAGAAACTGATCAGGAAGGCTAGCTCTGTGGTCGGCATGAAGCTGGACACTCTGGTGACAGTGGCAGAGAAAAGGACATTAAAGAAACTGATGGACATTATGAACAATGCTGGACATCCTCTGCACACGGCCATTAACAACCAGAAGAGTCTGTTCAGTGACAGGTTGCTTCTCCCAAAGACAAGAACTAACAGACTTAAAAACTCCTTTGTCCCACACGCCATCAGACTGTTTAACTCCTCCCTGGAGGGGAGAGGGAGGGGAAACAGGAGGACAAAGGAGGGGGGAACAACTAAGCTGTAGTGCCTCTTCACCTCACTGTGCAATACCTTTTGTGCAATACTTTTGTAAATAGTCAACGGTGCAATAGACTCAATACTTGAAATGTGCAATTCACTTGTATTTTTATTTTTATTCCTATTTATTCTATTTATCCCCTTTGTATATTTTATTTATATTGTCTCTGTATTTATATATATGTGTGTGTGTATAACTCTGTAACTTCTGTCGGTGCTGTGCTTTTTTGGAAATCGAATTTCCCAGAGGAACCCACCCGAGGGATTAATAAAGTTCTATCTAATCTAATCTAATCTAATCTATATCTCGCCATGATATTTGGCGTCGATGCACATTGCGCTGGTTTGGAGGCGTTCCCCCACGTTGCTGGAGCAGGTGGGTTTGGCTGCTGTTGCTTCTGCTACTGCTTGCTGTATCTCAGCCTCCAGATCCATAGATCTTACCAATATTTGTCCAGACCTCACCTTGGTCTTGGTGGTTTCTCTGTTCTTCTCTGCTATCTGATGTTCCAGCATTTCTTATGTCAATTATTCCTTTTCTTGCAATATTGATCCAGTCTTTGACACATTTTCACTCTTTGGATCGCCTCGTCTTCCAACTGTTGTTCCAGTTGGTCAGTTTCTCTCTGTTTAACTGCTAAATGCTCCTGGACTTGCTTCAGTGTAGTTTCTTTCTGTCTTGTCTCTTTGATGAGGTGAGTTCATTAATCAGGGATGCAGAAGCAGAACCATAGGTGTGGCCTCTGCAGCAGCTGGTCCAGTTTCATTAACACTCTGGCTTTGTGTTGTGTTTTCTGATCCATCAACACATTTTTTTAGGTATTTACAAATTACTAACTATGTTGTCAGAGTATAAAAGACTTATATGTTTTCCAGAAGACACCGGATGTTACACACTTCTGTTGGGCCGCCAGACTAAAAAAACCTGGTTGCTATTTTGTTATTCTCTGAGACTAACTCTGATAAATAATCTATTAAGATATCCTGGTCGGGGTCTGGGCTGTTGGGCTTCCCTGCTGCTGCAGTACCGGGGGCGGTCTGCTCATCTCCACCCCAGAGGACAGGGAAGCATCTCCTGGGTCTGGCACAGATCGCCCCTCTGGGGGAGATGGTGCCTGGATCTGGGAGTACAGAGTATGTTTGGAGGAGTGTGCGTGTGTGTACAGTGTTCATGTCTGTGTCTCCATGTTGGCTGAGTGCTGAGTATTCCTATATGTGTGCATGTTTGTGTCTGTGTGTGTCTGTTTGTCTAAGTTTATGTGTCAGGTCAAGGGTTAGACTCCACCTCTGAGAACATCTCAGGCCCCGACAGGTGGGGGGCCTATTTTCCCCCACCACACTCCCTGCCAGTGTCTGATGCCCCCACCCACTGGTGCGTTGGTGGTTCTTGGTGTCCGAGGCTGGGTGCTCGGGTGTGTACTGGTTCACTCTTGGCGGCTGCTTGGCGGGACCTTGGCTCAGTCAGACCCCTTCCAGGGTGTGGAGGCCCCTTGGATCTCGGGTCTCTGGGCCCGGGGCTCAGTCTGCTCTGGCGCAGCCAGCTGCCAGCACAGTCTGCTGCCTTGTTACCGAGGATCCCTGTGGCTTCTGCACTGTAGCTCCTTGGTAAGCCAGATGTGCTACCAGATGCTTATGCAGTGCAGTTAGCTTCTTTAGCCAGACATGAATCATGTCAGGGCCCGGTGGTGTTCGACTCTTTATGCTTGAGATTCTTTTTTGGATGTCTGCACTGGATGGCTACTAGATGCTGGGTCTATCTGTCTCTTCTACCCTGTATAGTGACATTTTTTTTTCCATAGTATTATTGTTCTTAGTTTATGCTGCATCCATTTATTCATTCATTTCTGCCCTGTCCACTCAGTGTAACTTTTTTAACACTGTATTTTCAGGTATGTTAGCGTAATTAAAGATAAGGCCCGTTTAAACTCATTAGACTCCTCTCCTGTTTATCATTGAATCACTTTTAAAAATTTTAATTCTCTAACATTTCCTGTGACATCACTTTTAGTAGACTACAAATGAAATACAGCTTAGAATTGTGACCTTAGTCTCCTGTTACTGTGTTAACCAGTGACTGGCATTAATTGCAGCAAGAAACCACTCTAATAATGTTCTCCATTATTTTGAAGGATCTCGCGATGGGAACAGATGCAGAAGGTGAGAAGATCAAGGATCCCATGAGGCTCATTGTCCCCATTCTGCTGGATGCCAATGTCAATGTGTCCGACAAGATCCGCATCATCCTGCTCTACATCTTCCTTAAGAATGGTCAGATATCCACCGTCATCCTGTTTTTAGTTTTTATCTATCGGATCACCTGCAAATGAAAGACGGGCAGCCCACTACCAGTCTTTCAGTTTTATCCTTAGACAGTGTCCTATTGCTACAGTTTAATTTTTCATACGTGTATTCTCAGGTTTTGATTTATTTTCTTTTGTCAATTCATTCTTTTTTTCTAAACATGCATGTTCCCATGCGTGTGAATTGCATGTTTGGACCGGGTATTTGTACTGCATGCATTTGTGTGTCTCACTGTGTGTGTCAGGTGTGACTGAGGAGAACCTGTGTAAGCTCCTGCAGCATGCTAACATCCCACCGGAGGACAGTGACATCATTTCCAACATGGCCCACATGGGTGTTCCCATTATCTCTGAGGTGAGCAAATCTGCCAACAACCTCATCAGCTCATTTAACATGACCCCCCCCCAAAATAAATAACAAACAAATAAAAGCTAAAAGCATTTGGAAATGTTACTACTGCAGCTTCCTGCATCAAAATGTCTCAATGCTGCAAAGATAAGACCACTGAATATTAATTTATTTAGTCAAAAGAATCTGAATCTCCAATTCATCCAGCCTATCCAGTGGAACACAGAGATTTAAGATAAGATAAGATAAGATAACCTTTATTAGTCCCACACGTGGGAAATTTGTTTTGTCACAGCAGGAAGTGGACAGTGCAAAAGTTATGAGGCAAAAATTAGAATACAATAAGAATAAATACAGTACACAACTGTACAGAATAGAATAAAATAAAATACTATATACAGTAGAATAAAATAAAATAAATATACAATAAGATAAAAATAGAATACAAATACAAATACTATATACAACTGAGTAAAAATACAACGATGACAGAAAGGATTATTGCACTTAGTATTATTGCATATGTATGGATGTGTGTGCTTGTTCAGTTAAAGTCTTTGTTGTGGAGTCTGACAGCAGTGGGGAGGAAAGACCTGCGAAATCTCTCCGTCCCACACCGTGGGTGCCGCAGTCTCCCACTGAAGGAGCTGCTCAGTGCTGTCACAGTCTGCTGCATGGGGTGGGAGATGTTGTCCAACAGGGATGACAGCTTAGCCGCCGTTCTCCTGTCACTCACCACCTCCACTGGGTCCAGAGGGCATCCTAGAACAGAACTGGCCTGGGTCTGCTCTTGCCCCCTTCTGGTGGGACATACCTAAAACACCTCTCCAAGGAGGCATCCTTGCCAGATCCCTGAACTACTTTGACTGCCAATCTCGGATGGCTGAATTCCTCACCCTATCGCTAACAAAGAGGCCAACAGTTTCTGACATTTGTAACTACAGTCTCATGCTTTTGGTCACTACCCAGAACTCATGATGGTAGGGACGTAACTCGACTGGTAAATCAAGAGCTTTGCTTTTATGCTCAGCTCTCTCTTTACCACGATGGACCAATGCGGTGCCCAGATCACTGCAGCTGTGTTCCCATTTGGACCCCGACTTGCAAAAGGCACTCCACGTTTTGCAGCTAAGGACCATGGCCTCAGACTTGGAGGTGCTGATTCTCCTTCCCACCACTTCACACTCGACTGCGAACTATCCAGTGAAGTCAACAAAGCCACATCATCTGCAAAAAACAGAGATGAGCTTCTGAGGCCACCAAAGTGCAACCGTCCACCACCTGGCAAAGTAATTCGATCCATAAAAAGTATGAATAAAACTGCTGGCAAAGTCCAACACGCACCAGGAATGAGTCCAACTTACTGCTGGCAATGTGGACCGAGCTCCAGGAATGGTTATGCAGGGACCGAATGGCCCATAGCAATGAGCCAGACACCCTACATTCCCAACCATCCCCCGCAGGATGAACTCTCCGGCACCCTGGCATAGTGTCTGAGTATCGTGATCCTCTGGTAGTTGAAGCTCACCGACTGGTCCCCCCTTGTTAAAAATGAAAACCACCATCTCAGTCTGCCAATCCAGTGGCACTGCTTCAGATCTCCACATGACATGTCAGAGGTGTGGGAGCCAACAATGCCCTACAACATCCAGAGCTTTCTAGGAAACCTCGTCCACCCCTTAGGCCTGGCTACCAAGGAGATGTTTAAAGAGGACATGAAACACATATAAAGGTTTATTTACATCAGAATGATGTCAGTACATAACGTTACGTCACCGGATTGGATTTGCATTAGTTTATGTTGGCTAACTAGTGACAGAACTGATAACTCAGTGGAAATCAAGGGGACTGAAAATCTGTTTAAAAGGATCACTTTTGTGCTGCCCCTGGCTGCAACAATGAGCTTTATGTTAAAACCAAGGATATGCTGTCCACTTTTTTGGCCCTTCATTGTTTGTTCGGCTGCACTCAAATGGGAAAATCCAGCTGTTTGCTCTAATGTTCGGTTTTGTAAAGGACTTTATGAATGAGGACGGTGTGGACGAGAGCCTGTTTGACTCAGTTTACAGGTGATTCACCGCAGCAACAAGCTGGAGTTAGAAACAGATTTTTCCTCATCTGGCCTAGTGCACTGAGCGACGCAATCAGCTTATGATCTTCAGCTTGATGCTTCCTTCACCTCCAGTATCCACCATGTGGTTCGGGGACAAGCATGAAGCTCCTTGCAGCTGCCTCGGCAATGAAGATGGAGAACATGGTTCCCAGCCTCCCTTGGAAAGCTGCCAAAGTTCTGCTGGAGGTGGAAGTTGAAGATCTCTGGAACAGGGTCAGATGTTCCAGAGATCATGTTTGGGTGTGTCGGGTCTGTTCAGCATCCTTCCCCGCCACCAGATTCATCTGGTCAATTGACACCTCAGCTGCTCTCGTTATCTGAGTGTAATCATATCACATCAGGTCTGTGGCCACATTTATTGTACAAAGTCACTCAGGTTCCTTCCCCACCAGAGGCGTGGCGGTCCATGTCCCGATAGCCGACTCAGGTAGCTGAGGTTTGGATCACCAGGGCGCACATTGCACCCGACCCCTATGACACCTCCTGCAGGTGGTGGGCCTACAGGACGGTCTGCAGAATGACTTTTTTTAAATTAAGGAGAAATAGGTCAACTATGATAGCCGTTTATTAAGAGTACCTTAAAAAGTATGAACATTTTAAAGAATAGTAATGTTTTTGGGCTGAACAAAAGTCATTTTTTGGTGCTCATGTGTCAACAGTAAAAACACTTTAGTTGAAAAGAGCATTTGTTCACAGGGCACCACCAAGAAAACCAAGAAGCCTGATCGCAAGGAACGGATCAGTGAGCAAACCTACCAGCTCTCCAGGTGGACCCCTTTTGTCAAGGATCTCATGGAGGTACTTTCCATCTGCTGTTGCTTTGTGTCAGTATTTAGGAAACAAATGTGTTAAACAGTATTTTGGGTTACAATTGGTACAGTTACAAATTGTTGCTACTTGCATGTCTTCCCACAGGATGCAATTGAAGACAAACTTGATCCCAAGCAATACCCCTATATTTCCCAGCGACAAGCATCTGCCAAAGCCAGTGCTCCATCAAGGTGTGTAGCTAAATACACATTTCAGGTGATACAAAATAAGAAGCTGATTGCCACTATCGTTGTTTCAAAGGGTCTACGTATACATGTGTAAAACTCTCAGGACTTTGGCATAAATGTTTGTCTGTTACTCATCATACAGTGCTCGCTATGGTAACTGGCACAAGAACAGGGGCCCCACAGAGGTGAAGACAGGGCCCCGGATAATCGTCTTCATCATTGGAGGCATGACATACAGTGAGATGCGCTGCGTGTATGAGGTCACCCAGGCCAATGGCAAGTGGGAGGCTTTGATTGGTGAGTTGATTTGACTGAGAATACTTATAGGAGAATTGGGTCATCTGTTAAGGGGCAATGCACATGTTTTATACAGGCGAATTGGTTTGCTCAACACAGAGAGTACTACTCATCTTTAGCATCCCTATAACTGAACTTAGAACGAGGTGATTTTGAAATTCATGCCACAGCTGCATCTTCTAGAAATCTTAGATTAATTTGAATCGCACTAATCTCCACCTCAAGGTCAGAGGTCAAGTTTTCTCAGAATCTTGTGAATGTTAAGAAGTAATTTAGGATTTTGAAATCCGTACCATACTATGAGGCTGACAGCTAGCACTGGACAAAATACACTTTAAAGTATTTTTAAAACTCTTGCGACTCATTTTTATCAAAAGCGCTCTGATCCGATCCAGGCTCTGCTGTGTCCTCTGAATCTGAAACATCACCTGGTTGTTTGGTGTAGAAACACTGACCTCTGTGGACACTCGAGCATTTGTGACTTTTCAGTAAAACCTTTGCAGAGTATTTGTTTGTGTCTCACGTTATTAACAAGCTTTCATCCAGCACTTGCTGAGCTTTGAGAATTTTGTTTCCTGTAGGCGCCACCCACATCCTCACCCCGCCAAAATATTTAAAGGAACTACAGCACCCAGACTTCTTGGACCCCAATGCCTCACCAGAGGGCGCCGAGGAGCCTCCTGTACAATAAAAGAACATCTGGAAGTAAATACTGAATGTCATTTTGTTCTTTGTGTACCTCTGTGTTTGCTGCTGTAGCCCTGTCCCCCACATCATTTGATGCCCGTGGTTTTCACAAACAGTCAGAATCTGTGTTTGTCAGTGTTTTAATAAATCGTCCTGCAGGTGAACTCGACTGTCACAGAGATCCTCCCTGTTCCTGCTGGATTTCTACCATCCCTTGTGTTTGACAGCTGTCTGAGGCAGGACTGTGTTCTGGTTGTAAAATGGCACGGGTTACCTGCAACATACCATGTAATCTTTGAAACCTGCATTTTGTTCTAGCGATAACGTAACATTGTTGAAAAACATTTTAAATTCATAGTACCTGTCAGTTACAACAAAGTGATCTTCTAGATAACACATACAAGGACCCAGCACCTCCAGTAACACTGTGAGGAATCCTGTAGTGTGCATATTAGACAAATATGTAGGGCTGCTCTCTTCATTTGACTTCTTTTTATTTTATTCTGATCATTTTGCATCCTCACCTCTATAAAAACCATAGATTACAGTATTACATGATGCTGAATTATCCTTTCGTTCTTGATCGAGTAATGAAAACTTTACGGTGCATCCAGAAACTATTCAGAGTCCTTCACTTGTTCCACATTTCGTAATGTTATGACCTTATTCTAAAATGGATTCAATTCATTTTCACCTCAAAATTTTACACACAATCCTATAACGACGAAGGACAGTGGTTTGCTTGAAATGTTTGCAGATGTATTAAAAAATAAACAAAAATATAACACCTAATTAAGTATTTACAGCCTTTATCATGACACACAGAACTGGGCTCAGGTGCATCTGGTTTCCTCCAGACTCCTGTCAGATGTTTCTACAGCTTGTTTGGAGTCTACCTGTGGTAAACTCAGTTGACTGGACACCACCAACACTGGTCTGTATAAGATCCCACAGTTGAGAGTGCAGAGCACAAACCACACCATGAAGTTCAAGGAGTTCATGTAGACCTCCAAGACTGGATTGTATCGAGGCGCAGATCTGGGGAAGCGTACGGAAACGTTTCTGCAGCTTTGGAGATCCCAGTGAGCACAGCAGCCTCAATAATCCATAAATAGAAGAAGTTTGAAACACCTGGACTCTTCGTAGAGCTGGACACCCAGCCAGTCGGTGTAGAAGGGCCTTTGTCAGAGTGATCATCAGTTCTCAGTCACCTCCCAGCCTGAGCTCCAGCATTGCCCTGTGGAGAGAGGAGAACCTTTTAGAAGGACAACCATTTCTGCAGCACTCCATTAATCAGGCTTTTATGATAGTGTCCAGTTGGAAGCCACTCTTCAGGAAAATGGCCCGACAGCGCTCCTAGAGCTCGCAAAAAGGCAACCAAAGACTAAGACCACAGGAAACAAAATTATCTGATCTGATGAAACAAAGATTGAACTCTCTGGCCTGAATGCTAATACCATTACTATAGTGCAGCATGGTGGGGCCCACATTATGCTGTGGAGATCTTTTTGCCAGCAGGAACTGGGAGACTGGTCGTGGTCAAGGGAGAGATGAATGCAGGAATGTACAGAGACATTCTGATGGTAGCCTTCTGCAGAGATTGGGGTGAAGTGACAAACAACATTTGTGTTTGAATGGTCTTCAGTGTCCCAGAGCACAAACTTGAATCTGACGATCCTCCTCCAATCCGATGAAAGTGAAAAGGTTCTGCAAAAAAGTTTGTAGCATCAAGCTCATAGACTTTAGGTTGTAATTGTTTCAAGCAAACCTCTTTTACTTTGTTAATATGGGGTGAGGCATTATTTTAAGGTGAGAAATGAAGTTAATACATTTACATTTCCCCCATGAGTACTTTTATCACTACACATTTTACACTTTTAAATTTATATAAATACACACTGCATATCCTTCCAAGGCAGGTGATTATACTGTGTATCACGTGTTCTCTGAATCCACCATTATACAGGATTATATCAGCTCGGTAGTCCTATGAAAGCTACAGCAGCCACATAACAAAGTCTAAAAGTACAAAAAGTACCTCAATCATAGCAGGCTGTGTAAGTAGTTACACTCACTGGACATGTTATTAGGTGCACCTTGTCAGTTAGATGCTTTGTTAGATAAAAAACCTTTAATGTTAGACTCTTGTAAATATGAAAATAAAAAGCCATCACGTAGAATTGTCTGCACACTGCACCACCTATACAAAACAAAACAGGAAGTTAACGTCCTCTGAGGAAGTAATTACATAGACAACAACTCTAATGAGAAGATGATGACGTGAGGTGGTGGGAGATGACGTCTGGTGGTTAACAGAACAAATGCAATCAGTGCAATCAGTGTTTAAATATTTAATCAGCTTGGTGTCACCATTTATCCTGCAACATGTAATAAACTGAAACAAAAAAGCAGCTGAAGCAAAAACTGACAAAGTAATTCACACACTTGTTGCCATGGTGAAGTGCAGCAGGTTTACAAGAACACTTTACAAACTGCAGAATTTCAAAAATAACTTTTATTTTATGTGCTCTGTAACATATTTATATTCACAGCTATTACTTTTGAACAGGCGGATATGCTAAATCAATATTTCCAATTCATCATATTTTAGCCTTGGCCTACCCAGAAGACATCCTTTAACCATTAAAAGCAGAGAGGATGTCTCTGCTTTAGAGGTTGATAGATCAATCAGAGTTTTGTTTGATAAGATAAGATACCTTTATTAGTCCCACGAGTGGGAAATTTCATGTTTGTGAGGAGATTTTAGATGAAATTCTGAATTTAACAATGAGCCACTGAAGAAAAAGAAAAAGTTCTTTCTTTTCATTGAAGACTTGAGCAAACAGACTGGTCATACAGCATCTTGTGTCTTTCAGGGTCAACTGAAACCTTTACCCCGTCTCACCTTGTAAAAACCCTCAAAGACTTGGAGAAAGAAGAACAGAGCACTGCCTGTAGTACTCCATAAACTCTTACTCTAGATTCCCCACCCACTCACATGTCAGAGCCAAACTTTGTGTTGTGTACAAATCAGTTGTTAAAACTCCAAACATGGAAACTGCTAATCACGCTGGAGTCTTTGTTGTTGTTAACTCTGTATTGTGGGATTATATTTATTCATCTAAACAATAACAGCTCTATGAGATTCGGCATTATTGGAGCAAAATCTGGCACTTCTCATCTAAAGTAGTGCTTTTCATGTAGTGGTTGCCATGGCATACTGTAAAAATCATTAGCTTTATAATAACGTCTGACCTGGAAGCCGCCAACATAAATGTAGCTGTAGCTCCATCATTTACTAGATAAGTAGATGTGATAGTGATTGTTTGTTGTACACTGAGTATCATTTTTCCTTTTATTTGACCATAATGCTTGGTTTTTATTTTATAGTGGTTCTGTATGACTAGTTATCAGCTGTTGTTTGAAAAGAGATCGCAGTGTTATCACACATTTGTACTTTTTTGTCCTCATCAATAAACAGTACTTGCTACAGGTGGTGTGTTCAACTAATAAAGCGACTTCCATTAATCTCTCCTCTCTCTGTGAGTTTCAGAGGTTAAAAGACAGAACATGAACAGTATATGTTCATATATGTATATGTATATGTACATATATGAACATATACTGTACATATATGAACATATACAGTACTGTGCAAACGTTTTAGGCAGTTGTGAAACATCCTGTAAACAAAGAACGCTTTCAGAAATATAAATGATTGTTTATTGGTCCTAAATGTATTGTGCAGCAGGACAACGACCCCAAACACACAGCAAAAATCATTAAGAACTCTCTTCAGTGAAAATAAGAATAAGAAGTACTGGAAGTGATGGTCCGGCCCCCACAGAGCCCTGATCTCAACATCATGGAGTGTGTCTGGGATTACATGAAGACCCAGAAGGATGTGAGGAAGATCTGTGCTTAGTTCTCCGAGATGTTTGGAACAACCAGCCGAGCTCCTTCAAAAACTGTGCACGTGCACCTAGAAGAAGACAAAGGGTGGTCACACCACATGTTGATATGATTTAGATTTCTGTTTGTTCATTTTGTTGATGGATGAAAATAAATGATCAACAATTTTATTTTGAAAGCATTCTCTGTTCACAGTAATTTTTCACACATGCATAAAAGTTTTGCACAGTAGTGTAAATACACAGTGCTTAATACATTTATTAGACCCCCACCCAGTGTGAGGTGTATGCCACAGCTGCCACAGTACTGGTAATCACCAAAGTTTTAAGCTTCTGTAATGGTTGATCCAGCAAAGTGCACAGACAATTCTAATGTGATAATGAAATTATGATTGTTATATTGTACTTTTGTAAAATTCAGAAAACAATAGTAAAGCACATTATAGTTTTTTCATCAAAATACCAAATGCTGCTAAACGGTTAATTTCTGATATAAATTGTATGAAACATTGTTTTTTGTTGAGTCCTCAAATGCTTGTTTTTCCTTGTTTTTATAAGAGGTGGTCTAATAAATATGTTAAGCACTGTAGTTATTCTGTTACATAGCAGAATACATGCAAATGTTGGTCACTTGACAAATCGAGAGGTGTGAAGAAGGACTGAACCTGTATTTTGATGCTCACATACATTATGGTCTTCAAGTTTGGTGTTGACCATAAGGACCAAATGCTTTGGCAATGTGACACTTTGATACTAATATTTGAAAATCTACCTTGAAAATATTTATTTTTTGCAATAGCAAACTCTTATTTATTCCTTATTTTTTTATTTCCACACAGAAACATGATATTATTTACACTACCAGACAAAGTGTGGACACGCCTGAGGTGCTTCAGTGCTTTTTCTTTATTTTGACCACTTGCTAGTTTGTATATACACACTGAAGATATGTGGAATTATATAGCAAAGAAAAAACTGTCATGTTGGTGCACAGCTGACAGCGTATTTAACAACTCATATTATGGCAAGAAGCAATCAGCAAAATAAAGAGACAGTCAATCGTTAAGAACTGAAGGTCAGTCCCTTTGCACTGTTTGAGTTTTGCATCTACAAAGGCGAAGAGGTGTGTTGACACCATGGACACTTTATCAGTGACGATTATTTCAGCACTTAGAAGTTCTGATCTGACTTCTCGCTCATTGCCAAGTCCCTGAATGGGAGCTTTGAAGCTTCCAGGCAGCTTGAGAAGAGAATGTTAAATGCTGCAGTTCAGCAGTTTACAGCACTGTGGGGGTTGATATGTCCGCTTCCTGTGCCTGTCTCAGGACTTTGCTCAGCATCTTAGATGCTTCTGTTTTCAGCATTTCAGCAGCTGGAAATGTGCAAACAAACATGGGAGTTGACAACCAGCTGATCATGGCTGCATGATCTCACTGCATCTTGACTTCATACCAGTTTCTCAGCCTCATGTTTAACATGCGTCAGGTTTTTCCTGGGCTTTGGTTTCTTTAAATGAACAGTCATGCTTGAAGTTGCCAAGTGTATTTCAGCCACAAACTGTGCAAAGAATAGAAAATGTGTGTCTTTCACACAACAGCTACAAATACAGAAAAGTCTTGATTTAAAACCCCACTGGGTAATCAGGCTCTTTTCATCCAGTGTGTTTTGGCCAGTGGTAAACTGCACAGGCTTCCAGCTGTTTAGAAGAAGCAAATTGGATTGTTTCTTTCTGCCAGAGCAGCAGAGTCGATATTTTCACTAAAACATCTCTTCAGTCTCATTGGAGGGCGGCAAAAAGGACTCAAACCCACGATTAGACATTTCATCTTGGTCTCTGTCTGAATCCACCATTGGTAGCATAACATTTAACAGTGTGGTGTCTGTGTTTCATCCTTACATTCCTATGATATGAAGTACTGGCTTCTATTTTATTTTATAAACATCATTGTTGCATCTTGTTTTCATTTTTCTCCTGTAGCTTTTGTGTACTTTTGGTCTTCTGTTGCTGCTTGTGACAAAACTTTGAAATGTCGGTTTTCTGAATCTGACAGCGTGTCCGTGTACGTGCCAACGGGAGATCTGCGCTTTGTGCTGACATGTTTTTGTAGAATCTGTCGTTTACCTGCTCTTTAACCGTTTCCTGTGGTTTGGTTTGTGCTGTGGTTCATGCATTATTATTATTAATAATCATTAATTATAATAATTGTTATTATTATTATTATTAATGTCAGCAAATTAAAATGAACGAAAGGGCTGTTGTCAGCGTTTGCAGCCCTTCAGGGTGCCATTGGCCCAAAAGTCAGCCCTTCTGTGATTGGTTGGTTGCAGCTAATATAGTTACATTAGTTTATGTTAGCTAACTAGGGACAGAATCAATAACTCAGAGGAACACACTAAAGTCACACTCAGTCTCAACCAGTGACTATCTTTTATACCAGTGGTCCCCAAACTTTTTTTGCTAGGCCCCCTTTGTTTTACAACATTACAACAAGTGTTTGAACTAAAGATCACGAATGTGGGATCCTGTTTGTCCGTCAGTTAAACAGCCCAGCGCTGCTCACAGGGAAAACCAATCCTGCAGGGAGACCTACCTCGGCACTTGTGCAGGTGAAGCCAAAGGGAAGATTTGCTTCACCATATTTTCTAGTCTTTGGTGTGGAAGGAAGTTGGTTTGGAAACATATTCAGCGATGCTTCATCTCCTGCTTTGCGTTTGTGTGGGAGCCCCGTCAAAAACATGTCCGTTATGCTAGCAGTGTCTAAGCGTTCTTTTTTTTTCTTTTCATACCGCGCCCCCCCTGCAATGGCTCTGCGCTCCCCCTAGTGGGCGGGCCCCACACTTTGGGAACCTCTGTTTTATACAGTCATTGGTCTGAATCTGCTGAATTTGAATTCACCAATCAGGAGCAGCTTGTGTCTACTCAGATTAAGCTGTTTGGTTTCTCCCACCAAAACACAGAAGAATTTGCTGCTGAGATACCAAGAAACAAATGGTTGCCACGCACAGGTCCCACTGTCAACTTTCTCCACTTCTTCTGGCACAAGGATAGTGACGTCAGTGGCATTTTTGGCTGTCTCCTGCCGTGCAGCCTCCAGCCTACGATGAGCCATCAGAGAAGCAGCACAGAGGCATGGTGTTGATACAGTTAACTTTGTGGAAGGCATGTATACGTGGATGATGGTTTAGTGTCTGTACCATCTAAAGATGATGCAGCTGACCACTTGCAGTGAACAAAGAACTCACTTGCTGATTCAAACATCTGTCTACACAGCTTTGTGTTGAATAGACAGTCAGTTACAGAAGAGTTTTCTCTGGAGGACAGCTTCAGTGACCAAGGATCTAGATTTCAAAACAGAAGCAACACTAAGCCGTACCAGATCAGATTATTAAGACTCTCTTTCGTCTCCTATTTCCAGTGCCACCACTAACAGTCCTCTCCCTCTGTTTCAGAAAACCACGCTTGAACCTCACGCACCACACCTAAGTGTGTAGCTCCACACTTGAGTATCCCATCAACCTTATCCCCCGTGACTCTTATTGTGTTCTGTAATAAAGTCTTGTTGAATTTAAGAACAGGCTTGCAGGCCTACCATTGACAGTGCGAACTTGAATGAATGCACCCAGATCTAGATCCAGCCCGAGCAGCCATCTCAAAACAGGATTCTGTTCTGGGCGCCCATGAACAGTCTATTCAGTTTCTAATGATGCGATGGTCGAGAGAAAATTCTGACTTCATAACAAAGCCTTCAACCCGTTTCTGTCCCTAATGCCATTCCTTCCGCACCATTGTCCCTCCCGTCTTGATCCCCCTCAGTTATCCAATTCCACAGAGTCGCTATGGGCTTTTCTTTTTTGTTTTTTTCTCCACGCTCATTTCCCAGCAATGACGCAAAATTATCTTACCTGGTGGGCAAGTTGAGGGGGAGGGCATTGACGTGGGCCAAAGCTCATTTATCCACTCAGTTGGTTCTCAGTCACACCAGAACCCATGCTGATTGGCCGCTCCTGGCTCACTCGCGAGACACGTGAACATTTTCACACATTTGAGTGATTTTATTGTGGGTCCTCCGGCCATTTCCTGGCTAATTGTCCCAAATGTCTGCTGTTGTGATGATTGTGATGTGATGGCTGCTCTTAGACCCACTAGGCACTAAGCATTGAAGTGTGCTGCCCCTCCCTTCCTTCCCTCCCCATCTCCAGCTGCCTCCCTCTTCCCGCTCCACCACAACCACCCACACATGCAGGGCCTTGGAGTAGGGGTATGTCACCAGGGTGCAGGGGAGGCATCCCCCCCCCTCTGTCCCCTTCTGGCTGCCTCTGCCTCAATTTTATCCCACAACTTAGACATTCACATTATTCACACTCTCATTACACATACATATAGGATCTTGGGGGTGGGCACAATCACGGAGTCCAAATTACCATCAGGGTGTACACCCCACCCCTGGCATCGTTGCCCACCTCTCAATTTTAAATACACGTAGACATTGAGGGCCAGCAGGAGGGACCATGCACTTACCTGCTGCTCTCTGGCAGGTAGCTCCAAGCCCTCCTGGGTTTTAAATGCACCTTAGAACACACATGCATCAACACTACAATGAGCGGGTGGAGGGAGGT